TTGCCTCCAGTTATAGTTAAAAATCTGCTTAAACTTTATTTCGTTAATTGGGTTAAGCAGAATAATAGGGATATACATCCAGCAGAAGCGGGGTGCTGACCGAGTGGGGCCCAAATACTGACCAATAAGTCCGTGCCTCAAAACAAGCTGCCGGCAGTTCACATGGCCTTGAAAACAGCTCCTATAATTATTTTAGAAATAACATCAGTCTAAGAATGTTCATCGATGTAATCATTTTTATTTGTGAAACTCAATTCAAATACTTATAAAGGCTGATATATTTAGAGAAATCGATTCAACTTTAAACGAATTTAAATTCTCATTTTCTTACTAAATATTTAAATTCAAATTAAATATGAAATGATTGTAAAATTGGAGAAAATATTATGTCTGAATTTCTCTTCCCCTTCCATGAATCACATCTATTATCCAAACAAAATATTTTTTGGATAAAATTTAGATCATAGAATAAAAATTTTAGAAATACATAAAGGTTGTGTCTTTTTAATGTTGGGTGCGATTCAATAAATCCTATTGAAATAATGGGACTAAACACCTCTTAATTGTTTGGGAAGATATGACAGAAATATTAAGATTTATGAATCTAAATTATTTTAGGAATGTAAATCTAATTTAGATATAAAATATTCTACCACATGGGTTTTAGCGATTCATCAAATAAGATGGTACATAGGGTTTTCCAGTCCCTTCCTTGTTCTGAGACGCTGCTCTTCAGAAGCTCAACTTCTCCTTGTAGCTGCAATCTCTGAAGGGGCAAGATGTCGATGATCTTAGATGCCTTTGTAGGCAAGTGCTTGGAGAGGCTGACGAGTTTTATTGACGAGAAGGCAGCCATGTTGCTCGGCGTTAAAGAAGATCTGAAAAAGCTGCAAAGGCTAATGGTAAGGATTCAAAAAGTTTTGGATGACGCTGAGAGGAAAAGATTGGAAGACTCCGCCATAAACAACTGGATTAGCGAGCTCAGAGATGTCATGTATGATGCAGAGGACATCATTGATCTCTGCTTGATCGAGGGCTCCCAATTGCTTGATGAAAAGCCCTCTTCCTCTTCGAAATCCTGCTGCAACTCCTCTTTCTTCTCTTGCTTTCTCAGTGCTCCACATCGCTATGAGATTGGTGAAAGGATTAATAACCTCAATGGTAGGCTTGAAGAGATCTACAAAGACCGGTCACAGTTCAACTTAGATCATCATAACTCTAAAACAAATCCTACAATGGTGAATAGTCATCAGACTTCTCCAATAGCAGCTGAGCTTGAAGTTGTTGGCAGAGAGATTGAAGACGCAACCAAAGAACTGATTAAGTTGATGACTAGAGGGGATGTGAGGAAACTTAGCGTTTTTGCAATTACGGGCATGGGAGGGATAGGGAAGACCACTTTAGCTCAGAAAATTTTCAACCACCACAAGATTCAAGCTGAGTTCCAGATCAAAGAATGGGTCTGTGTCTCACAAAATTACAATGAGATTGATTTGCTGAAACAAATGCTAAGAGGAGCTAAGATGAGTTATGGAGATGCTAATACTAAAGCAGAGCTTGAGCCTTTAGTAAGATCAGCCATATCCGGGAAGAGTATTTTTCTGGTACTTGATGATGTATGGAGAGCTGATGTATGGATTGATTTGCTTCGAAAACCACTTCATAGCGCGCAGATTGATGCTTTGATCTTAATCACAAGCAGAGATGAAAATGTTGCCAAGCAAATGGGAAGTGTATACATTCATCCTGTTGTTCAACTTCCAGTTGAAACTGGATGGGAAATGCTCAAAAGAAGGCTTGTAATGATCGGTGGAAGAGAGGAAGTGATTTATAATCTGAGAGAAATCGGTATTCAAATCATTGAAAAATGTCATGGTCTTCCTCTTGCTATAAAGGCTATGGCTGGAGTTCTAGCAAGGAAGGAGCCAGTTGTGCATGAGTGGAAGAAGGTTCTCAACAATAATGCATGGTGCATGAGCAAGCTTCCTGAAGAGCTCAGGGGTGCATTATACCTCAGCTATGATGACCTGCCATCTCCCTTGAAGCAATGCTTTCTGTATTGCTCTCTGTTCCCTGCGGATTGGATGTTGTTCCGTGAAGATCTTGTTAGACTGTGGGTAGCAGAAGGGTTCATAAAAGAAGAGGGACATTCTTTAATGGAAGATACAGCAGAGGAATACTATCACGAGTTAACTCGGAGAAACCTTCTGCAGTTGAATCCTCTTAACTATGAGGGTACATATTGCAAAATGCATGATTTGTTTCGAGCTCTTGCTCAGTTCATATCCCGGGATGAAGGTTTCAGCGGAAATGTTACAGAAAAAACCACCATACCATTGACAAAGCCAAGACGGCTAGCAGTGGCAGGGAAAGGGACAGCTACTGGTGTCCTTGGTGCAATACCTGAGTCGAAATGTTTGAGAACTTTGTTCATTTTCAGTGGATTTCAAGCAGTTGATTTTAAAGAGTTGGTAAGATTTATGCATCTTCGAGTTCTTGACCTTACAGAAAATGAGATAGAAAGCATTCCTAATGCCATTGGAGATTTAGTTCATTTGAGACATCTTGATCTCGACAGAACACTTATAAGAGAGCTGCCTGAATCAATTGGGCGATTAACTAACTTACAATTTCTGAGTCTTTGTGGATGTAAAAATTTGACATATTTGCCAAGTAGTATTACTCAGCTACAAAATCTAAGGCGTTTGGCTCTTTCTGATACGCCGCTTAAGTTCATACCCAAAGGCATAGAGAGATTGAAGCAGCTCAATGGCCTCAAAGGATTTGTTGTGGGAGATGACGGTATCAGTAATCAGGTTGGAGGAAAACAGGTAATAATGCACAGTACATTGAAGGAGCTTAGCTCTCTTTCCAAACTTAGCATCCTCAACCTATACAATCTGGAAAGGGCTCATTCAGGCTCTTTAGTTCTTGGACAACTTTCTCAACTCAAGGAGCTGCTGCTTTCCTGTAGTCCTGTTCATAGTAATGATCACAAAAACGAGGAACCCTTTTTAATTGAAAAGCTCTTTGAGGAATTAGTCCCATCCAAATCCCTGGAACAACTGTATATCAAAGGATACTTCGGCCTAAGTTACCCGAAGTGGATGCTATCACTGTCACTTGGATCATATCTTCCATATTTATCAATCTTAGATCTAGTGGACAACATGTCGTGTCCTCTGCTTCCTCCGCTGGGCCAATTGCCACAATTGAGAATACTTTATATTGCTGGAGCAAATGCAGTCAAATGCATTGGACTAGAATTTCTTGGTGGAGGTGTAGCAGCAGCAAGGTCTGAGCGCAAAATAGCTTTCCCAATGCTTCAACTTCTTACGTTCCATCGCATGGAGAATCTGGATGAATGGTTCTTTTCGTATGAACAATTAGAGAAGAGTGATGGTTCACAGAAACTCGTGCTATTTCCTCGTTTGCATGAACTGATCATTGTAGACTGTCCTAGGCTGAGATCACTTCCTAATGGACTGGGTAGAACTGGTTTGAAAAAGCTTTTTGTTACCGGAGCTAATAGGATTAAAGAAGTATGTAATCTCACCCACATAGCTGAATGGGTTGACATGCATTTCAATCCAAGCTTGGAGAGGATCTCAAATCTTCCTGCACTGAAACGCCTTGCATTGAGAGAGTGCTATGCTTTAAAATATGTGGAGAGTTTGGATGGGTTGCGGCAGCTGGAACTCGTTGATGATTCCATGGATTGTCTACCAGAGTGGTTACTGAGGCTTATTGAAGAGAGGCTAAGTGGAAGAGAAGCTCAGGAAGATGAAGATGATTTCCTGCTTCAGTTATGGTGCAATGAAAGGGTGCTTAGAAGATGTCTGAGAGGAGGGGAAGATTGGGCTCTTATCGAGCAAATTCCACGGCTGAACGCTTACGTTAAAGAGGGAGAAGGATATCTGCGCTTCGTTAAGCAACCTTTCTGCTACGAGACCAACTTTTGAGCTCTATAATAACTCGTCAAATAATAAATGGAGACAGAGGGAATTAAAGAGATTTACTTTTAAGCCTCTTCACTGGATTTTTCTTTGCTTTTCTACGAGCTGTATACTCTTTAAACTTAATAGATCATTCTTCTTAATGAACATAGTTCACATGATTAATGTAAGCACCGGTGCCTTTTTTTTTTTTT